TGTATAGCTATATTTGATATTGTTAGCTAAAGGGAAATATTAATTTTCTGAATTCTGCTCCTTAAAATGGGAAGGGAGAGGAGAAAAAGAAGAGCCAAGTAAATAACAAAGTTCTTCAAGAGGAGTTCTGAAACTCTAACTTTATTTAATGGCTGTAGTGGAACACAGAGATGTAGTCTGTACATGCTCACTTTATGCAATAAAAGTTTGTCCTATTGTGCCATGATAAAATCAGGGAGTAATATAGCTAAGAAGCTAGAAAACCACAGTATTGTTAAACATGAAAATTCTAAATATTGAAACTGTAAGCAAAGTTATATTGTTACTTTGTAAAAGATATAAATATTTCAGCTTTGGAAAATGCTTGGTAGGTCAATACCTAGGACAATGTTTAATTGAAAATAAGAAAGCAATTTCATCTTATTCTTAGACAAAAATCCCTTTGGAAAGAATATGAATGTGCTTATAAGGAATTTCTGTGTCCAGAATACCTTTGCAGAATCCAGAGGCCTTGTAAAAGAAGTACATAATATACCTTTAACTGTAGGATTAGGTTATTGTCAACTTTCTAAGCCACTAGTTNTGGCACAGCTGCCTGATACTGATGGGCAAAGGGGGCTTAGCAGGTTGGAGTTCAGGGCACACAGCCTGCCCCCAAAGATGCCAAAGCTGCATATTGATTATTTCTAATTAAAGTTACTTGGAAAGCAGCACATATATGCACTTTGATCCTTCTTTGTCTCCCTGAATACAGGAGATAAATCTCCCCTGTGAAAGCTGCTAATAGAGACATCTTTTTCACCAGAGATAATTCATTTCAGGGTTGAGAAGCCCATATACACAAACCCTGTTCCTTCTCTAATAATTTACTACCCATGTCTAAACTTTCCTTAATTTTCTTATTAATTATGGCTCCAAACCTAAACTTTATCCTATCCAATGCTCACAAATTTATTCTTTACATAAAAGATATAAAAGCTGCCCACTTTTGATCACTAAGCATCATTTTATGATCTCTGGTGTACGTGAAATTAATTTTTCTCCTGTTAATCTATCTTGTGTCAATTTTATTACCTGTCCATGCACAAAAACTCAAGAAGGGTAGCAAGGAATAGTTTCCCCTTCTGGACAATACCAGTCAAGTTCAAGTTCAAGAAGAATAATGAACACCTCCAATCTTACCAGTGCTTTACACAATGAAATTCACAACAGTAAAATAGATATAACATGGGCTATGAGTTTGCACTTGGCCTCCTATTAGCGATAAGCATTGTTTCTCCTCCCTTGATGAGTCAAATAACTTTTGGATTTTATTTCTCTGAATCATCAAAGTCCCAGTTACTAAACCTTCTACATATGGGATTATAGCATAGGTCCAAATGGTCACTATAGTCTAACATAAACAGAAAACACCTGTCTATTCATAAATTTCCTTTCTCCAAAAACAAGAGGGACCTAATGGCATTAAATGTACGTGAGTGCATTTACTAAGGGTGAAGATAAATACTGTTAAAGATGAGCACAGCTTCAGAAGACAATACAACAAACGGATGTTTACATCATATCTGTTTAAGATATCAGAAGCCTACAGAGATATCAGGTTTCTACATGGAGCACCCAGGATGCAGACTGAATTTTTCTTCTTAGAATAGAGGACTGGTTCAAAAATGTTGTCAGAATTTTAAGTGGTTTAACATTTATCACCCTAAAAACCACGTTCTTCAGTCTACCATAAGAATGCATAACCGTGCTTTGCTTTTGTGAAAGCAAAACCATGGCTGAAGTCTCAAGCAACTAGATGACTTCTCAGCAGGAATATGTGACAATCCAGTCTAGGCCAGCTTTTCAGCCAAGATGTAAACAAAAATAAAACTCAAATTTTTCAGTGTGCATGAAAGTTCCTGTTCCTTTGAAGAAGTTTGGGGAGTTACAGGTTCTCACAGTCAGAATTCTATATGGGAATTCTGTATGTCTTATTCCAGTGAGATCCTGCTGTGTACCTCTCATGTTAATCGTTCTTAGATTTTAAAAATCTATTACAAGCCTAGGGATATAACTCTATATGACTGTTCCCACTGTGCAGCCTTTCCAACTGTCAACAGACCTGACTACTGAAGTGTTAATCTCTGATCGCCACCAAGGCTATTTTAAGTGTACCAAAGTGGTCAGAAAAACTGTACTTATTTCTTAGCACCAACCACAATTTCTGTTCAAATTTGAAATGTCTGCCTCCCTCACAGACTGTAAATTCACTATTATGTTCCAATTTCCAGTACTGTGCCTGTTATGTAGTAGGAGGTCCCTAAGTACTTAATTGAGTGAGTGAATAAGTGAATCTATCTGTTAATCCTTTTATCAAATTATTTTTTTCCTTTCCCTAAGTTTCACTGCATCAATTTTATTGTCCTACCATTCTCCCTGGCTTCCCTGGTGGCTCAGTCAGTAAAGAATTCGCCTGCAGTGCAGGAGACTTGGGTTCAATGCCTGGGTTGGGAAGATCCCCTGGAAGAATCCACTTGCCATGGGAAGTTCCCATGGCAGTCCACTCCAGTAATCCCCAAGCCTGGAGAATCCCTGTGGACAGAGGAGCCTGGTGGGCTACAGGCCATGGGAGTCACCTAGAGTCAGACACGACTGAGCAACGAAGCCCAGCACAGCACATTCTCCCAAAGGCAAGTTCTCTATTGGATAATATTCAGTTTATCTGCAGCCACTATGGGAAACAGTATGGAGATTCCTTAAAAAAATACNGTCAGGTGATGGAAGAGAGAGAGGGGAGGCAGGAGGCAGAGAGGAGAGGAGTCAGGAAGCCGGGTGGGGTGGGGTCTTGCACTGCGTGGTCCCAGGGCCCCAGGGCTGGGAATGGTTTCCACTCCACCCTCTCATTGGAAAAGACCCTGATGCTGGGAAAGATTGAAAGCAGGAGAAGGGGAAGGCAGAGGATGAGATGGTTGGATTGTATCACTGGCAGATGGACATGAGTTGAGCAAGCTCCAGGAGTTGGTGATAGACAGGGAAGCCTGGTGTGCTGCAGTCCATGGGGTCGCAAAAAGTCGGACAAGACTGAACTGAACTGAACTGAACTGATGACACACCAATCCCACTACTTGGCATATAAGCCTGAGAAAACCATAACTGAAAATGACATGTGTATCACAATGTTCACAGCAGTACTGTTTACAATAGCTAGGGCATGGAGGCATGCTAGGTGTCCATCGACTGATGAATGGATAAAGAAGATATGTATATACAGTGAAATATCACTCAGCCTTACAAAGAATGAATTTGAGTCAGTTCTAATGAGGTGGATGAACCTAGAGCATATTCCAAATGAAGTAAGTCAGATAAAAACAAATATCGTTCATATATATGGAAATTAGAAAAATGATATTAATGAAACTATTTGCAGGGAAGGAATGGAGACGCAGATGTTGAGAATGGACTTGTGGATACAGTGGGGGAAGGAGAGTGAGGTTATGGAGAAAGTAGCATCAACGTATATATGCTATGGGGTGTAAGATGGATAGCTGGTGAGTTGTTATGTAATGCAAGGAGCCCAACCTGACTGTGGTGACCTAGAGAGATGGGATGGAAGGAGGAAAGGGAGGCTCAAGAGAGAGGTGATATATGTGTAATTATGGCTGATTTGCTTATTGTGTGGCAGAAACCAATACAACATTGTAAAGCAATTATCCTCCAATTAAAAGATAAATTAAAAAAACTCAATTTGTCATATATTAAACATTAACAAGATAAAGAGTTGCGGATGTGACAAATTATCATTTTTAAGTAACAGTAGCTACATTTTATCTTGTTATATGGAAAGTAAAATGTATCTTAGAGGTTACAGTTAGCAGGACCTTTAAATGTAATCTTACTTTCTCAGAAATGCTCCAAATTGCCACCATTATCTCTAGTTAGTGATGTGATATAGTCCAAGATTAGAATACAGCACACAGATCAGCAGTAGAAATATTTATTGGTGTTTTCCTTTAGAAAGACTTTTTTCTCTCTACTTCTTACATTTACTTTAACTTTTTTTTTCTGTCTTAACCAAGTCTTCCACTTGTCAATGGGTGAAGGCTGGTGACTTCAAAGATTAAGGCATCTAGATCCAGAAAAAGATTGAGTATTTGTTTCCATTTATAGCTTTATTATCCAATGACTAGATAGTTTAAATGATTCAATTTTTAGGTATCACTCAACTCTTTAAAAATACATTGGTATGGAACTTCCTTGGTGGTCCAGTAGCTAAGAATCCACCTTGCAATGCAGTAGACTTGAGCTCAGTCCCTGGCTGGGGAACTAAAATTCCACATGCTGAGCAGCAATTAAGTCTACAAGCTTCAACTAAGACCCAAGGCAGCCAAATAAATACAATTTATATGTATATATATATATTGTATACTATATATGTGTGTGTGTGTATATATATATACACACACATACACTGGTAATGCTACTCCCAGTGTTGCAGGAATGATGTGTGAAATGATACCTATGAAGTGTTCTTCACTAGAAGCTCTGTATATCTGAAGTGTAGTGTTCTTTCCTCTGTCTTACCTATATTATTAAATCTTGCTTATCATGGTTCATTTGAATTTACCTCCAAACTGTAAGAAAGATAGCTGTAACTAGTTTAGAGAGAATTTTTTTTAACTTAATGTGGTGGTTTAGTGGCTAAGTCATGTCCGACTCTTGCGATGCCATGGACTATGGCCCTCCAGGTTCCTCTGTCCATGGGATTCTCCAGGCAAGGATACTGGAATGGGTTGCCATTTCCTTTTGACTTATAGGAGCCCATAAAAGCCAATATATGTAGTTAGATTAAAGATATCTCTAGAAAAAATTAAGAATTGTGAATTCCTAATCCAAGAACACCAAAGGACTNGGAAAAAAAAAAAAAAAAACCTTCATTTTTTTTTTTCAGTAAAAAAAAAAATTCAGTAAAAAAATTCAAAAAATTGCATTTACAATTTCTCTTTTCTCTCCACCTGTAGATTATGAGACTGCTCACGGTTTGCCTCAACGAAGATCACAGACTATCAGTTGGAGGAAATACAAGAGCTCACTCATTGCTTCCATAAGAACACAGCTAATCTCTGCACTGAGATCATCGCTGGTCAAAATCTACTCACAGAGAGCATCTCAGAGCAGAAACTAAATCACCTAAGTAGTCTGTGCATTTTAGACACAAATGCAAGGTAACTGTGAACATGATTGTCTAAGAAAGTGATGTTGAGTAGGCTTATCCCTAACATTTTCCCCCCAAATTGTAGGTCACAAACTATCAGTGGAATTGATTTAATTGGTTGGAATGAGCATTTAAAGAAAATAAGTGAAATAGACAATAATAGAGTGGAATATAATAAGATAGAATACAATGAGGCAGAATAGGAAACACAAAAAGTACTACACCCCCGTACAGTAAGCATGAGTATGAATTTACAAACCTTTTCTGTATATATTATACATGCGTGCACTGGGTCACAGTGTAAGATGTATTTTTTACTGTGCAATAGGTCAAACCACTTTGATACTCAAAAGCTTTCAGCCTGACACATGTGTGTACTGCATCCTCACTGCAGCTGTTTTCTAATTATGTGGCCTTGGGTAAGTTATTAATTCTCTTTAACCTCTTCAGCAACCACAACAGAATTCAGAGCTGTCTCAGGGGTCCTTCATGTCTGTAAATGAATAAACTACTGGACTAAGCAACTTCGTTTTCTATGTGAGGACCAGCAGGCCTGGAATCTGGCTTCTCAACTTGGGAGCAATGTGACTTTGCCCAAACTATTTAACTTCACTACACTTTAGTTTTTCTTGTCTTTAATTTTTTTTTTTTTCCCAACCAAAAAAATGTGGGTATTAATAGCAGCACTCTTACAGGTCTGTCGTGAAATTTTCATTAGGTAAAGTGCACTGACCACTTAACACAAAGCCCATGAATAGTTCAGAGCATGCTACCCCCAAAGGTGCCACTTTCCCATATTATTGTGATTATTTTGAGCTGAAGGTGATGCAGCAACAGCAAATACAGACAGTCTCTCTAACTTCCCCCTTTCTCCCTGAAGATTTCCCATGTGAAATATGTACTCTGTACCAGGAAGCGGGGAACATCTTACCACCAAAGGAAGGTAGTTGATGCCAAAATGGATCTGCACAAACCTATGAAAATGACCCTTATCTTCCAGTAGTTTCCCTCAGATATTTCCTAGTCACAATGTACTGTTCATCAAAGCTCTTTCTCTTTGTCTTGTCACTCCTTCATAATTTATCATTCTCTGTTGAAAAGATCTGTAAACTCTTGATCCTAACTTCTTTGGGTCTCCATTTTTGCTATGGAAGCTTCCATGTGCATGTAAAAATGTTCAATAAAGTTTGTATGCTTTTCTCCTGTTCATCTGATTTTTTGCCAGTTGAATTCGCAGGCCCCAGTTACAGAACCTAAGAGGATTAAGGGCCTTTTCCACTATTACACCAGACACATAGTACATACCAAATAAATGAAAACTGTTCCTGTTGTTGTTATTAATAAAATCATCTCTTGTCTATACCCTCTTCTATATGAAAGGAAAGAAGAACTTGAAAGAAATGGAAACCCAAAGACCATTTAATGATTCACAGACCTGCTGACAATAAAACTTCCCTAGGAAACCACTCCCCCCTCGCCCCAAGTTTTTAATGTAAATGTGTGACCCACGGGCAGTTGTCCTGGTGGAAATGAAATACAAAGCACAGTCATAGTACAGAGAAGCCAGATCTAATGGTGGCACTGTGCCTCAGTTTATCTCTGAAATATGCCCTGAGAGGGAGCCTACATGAGGTCTCCATGGATTCTGAGTTCTCCATGGGCTTTATCAGCACACCAGCCTAACTCAAGCCTTGGTGTGTGCTGTATGTTGCATTAATATGTCTTCCTCTATTTTTTATTTGTTTGCCTCTTTGCAACTGGTGGAAAAGTCTACCAAGTCTAACTGGAATGTTTTTCTGACCTGTCAAATATGACTTCAGTCTTTTAAGTTGGATTATGGAACAAGCAAGTGGCATATAAGTAAGTAACATTTTAAAACAAATAGTAGCAGAATAAATTATTAGTATAGATTCCAGATCTTTTTACAATGTTAGGTTTTCAAATATTAGTATGGCCAAACAGGCTTCTATTTCACAAAAAAGAAGGAAGAGTAGTTACCAAAAACCAAAGCAGCAGTTGTTAACAGGAGTATTTCTCAGCATCAAACCTATTTTGGCTGTTAGCAGGTTTATTAGTTAGTTAGTTTATTACAACTACACAATAGGAGTCATCATTAATAACCATTATTATTGCTGTTATCGAATTAAATAATACACCTAACACATCAAATATATATCAAAACATGTGACAGGTGCTATCAAAAAGAAAAACCAACTACGATGTCAGCCTTCTAGTGGCATTACAAAGGTGCTTGAATAGTCCCTGTCATCTCTGCCCCTCTCCACTACTCCATAAAAAGCTGAGCACATTTACCCTTGTGGATGAGCACAGCAGTCAATTCTGTCTGTCTCCTCACCAAGAACAGAGGAGTCTCCTATGATTCCCACCTGAGACCAGAGAATTAAGAACACAGAGCTATTGTGACAGGTGTCTAAGAATCTGGCGAGTTTATGACTGGATAGGAGTGCCCTTGAGGTTCACCAACTGGGAGAAGGCACAGGGAATTCAGAAGTCTGAGAAGACAGGGAAATCAGCCACAGAAATATCCAGAAATATTCATAAGGATGGTAGGCTGCTCCGCCTTCCATTCTAAAAAGCAGGATTAGAATTTTTGAAGAATTTGAACCTAGTTTGAAATTGGGGGACGGATCAACTGTGAGTTTGAGGGATGGGGATAAGAGCTTCATAAGACCTACGGTTCTTGAAACAAAAACAACAACAAGAGGCCAGAATAGATGAATAATAAGATAACTTCAAAGGCTTAAAAAGGAATTTCAAAGGCGTGTGCTCACTTGTCAACATAATAATAAGGCAGTGGGTCTCCCAAGGTTGCATCTATTTAATACTTTAGCTCCTCAATGAATGTTTATAGTTTGGACAAAGAAAATTGTTTTTATTCATTTTTATGGCTTACTTGATTTTAATGCTTAACATATAATAGTTTTTAAAAGACCCAAGATATAAGTAGTATTTATTGATGGCCTAAACTGCCATCAATCAAGTGTGAAATATTAAATTTTAAGTGTTAACATGAGAATAGCAAGAGTTTCATCAAAATTAAAGAGAATGTGTTCACAGGGAAGCGATTTCAACCAAATCTCTAAAAATCAGACAATTAACCATCAATCATGAAATTATCTAAGGACTTCCAGTAAACAGTTAATTATGGTATTTAAAATATTTTAGTAATGCCCTGGTATAGGAATTATCCTCATTTCCCAAATGAAGAAATAAGCATTAGAAAAAGATTAAATAACTGGCCCACCCATCCTAAAGCTAGAAAACCCAGTTCTAGCTAATTCTCATGTTCAAGCTCTGCCCAATGCTCTCTATTATATGAGCCACTATCATAGAGATGAAAATATGAGACAAACATAGGACATTTTCCTGAATGGGTGCTTGAATACTTTAATTATCTAAGTATATAGATGATGGACATCTTTCTGTTTGTATATTTAGCCATCATATGGCTATTAGAATTAACCTCACTTGAAAAAGAAATTAAAACTGTCTAAATATCTTCAAAGGTATGCATTTAGTTAGACCCTAGTGCAGTTCTCTTGCCCCTAAACTATTATCTGCCTGTTTTTGGTTTATACAACTTTTACAGAATTGTTAGTTCTTTTATTAATTTTTTTCACTCAGCTATTTGTGTGTGTGTGTGTGTGTGTGTGTGTGTGCGCATTTACTCCAAATGATTAGGAGTGTTAGTGTGGCAATTATGTCTTATGTTTTAAGTTAGTTTGCTCAGTCTTGATTCAGAAAATGGAAATGCTCTATTTATATTTATTAACTTTCCACATCCTGGACCCAGGAAGTGAGAACACGAAGTCCTTTAAACTAAGAGATCAACACTTAACCTAAAAGTAGAAGTGAGTTGAATTATTAATCTTTGTGGAGGTCTTTCATCTCCTGGTTAATGTTGTGAACTTCTAACTTTGCCAATAGTGATTAATTAAAGTTATATATTGAAGCCTTGTTCTATCTTCAAAGACATAGAGTAAAATTTTCATCATTTTTAAAATTTTGGCCACACCACTCACTTTGTGGGATCTCAGTTCCCTGACCAGGGATTGAACCTGGGACCATGGCAGTGAAAGCACCAAATCCCAGAAGCCTTGTTCTATAACTTTCTCAGAAAAAAAAATGCCATGGAGAATGGGCAAGTTTGGGCCATCAGTACTGAACCTACACACCTTTGGGGTATAAAGCACCACAAGAGAAAGGGAAAAGTATACTAACTCAAGTCTGGTCTTAGCTCCAAACCTGAGAGGAGCGGAAGCATCATTAATATTTTAACTTTTCTTCTTTTTCAGTCCCTCTCTCTTCCTTCCTTCCTCCTCTCTCAGACACTCTACACATCAACACCTTCAATACTAATGACAACCTTAGAAGTTGGCTGTCACTCAGCAGATGTCTCTCAACTTCTCTTTACCTCAGGCTGAGCAAATCTCGGTTGAGTCCCTTGAATTCAGATTTCAGAAGCATTCTCAGTCCATTGGCAAAGTCCTGGAGGGCCGTAGTGCAGAAGGTCAGGTGAAGAAAATAAACCAGTTGCATGAGGCCCTGTGGGTTCTTCAGCTGAGGAGAGTCATTTCATCAAAAGACTGGTTGGGGTGATGTCTAAGATGTTTCTGGCTATCTTCAAAGACATAGAATAAAATTTTTATCATTTTTAAAATGTTGGCCACACCACTCAGCTTGTGGGTCCTCAGTTCCCTGACCAGGGATTGAACCTGGGGCCATGGCAGTGAAAACACCAAATCCCGATCACTGGACCACCAAGGAACTCTCCCTTAGAAAAAATTTGTTTTTTAAATCTGAGGAAGACAACTCTAAGTGCCTGAAGAGGTGTGACTGGAACCAAAGTGCCCAACCAGTGGTTTGGCTGACCCTAGGCTGTGTCCGGAGCCCTCTGTCTCCTGTAGCGCTGGTCTGCAATCAAGTATAGCCCTGGCAGCATCTGGACCACGACAGAGGCTCATACAGGGAAGGACAGAGACTGCTCCACACCTCAACCCTGCCCCTTCCGTAGTCCTACTAGTGGTAAAAGTGGGGAGTCTCCTTTATTTCAGTCTAAAATCATTGGCACCTCAAATGCTTCCCCTTCACCCAGAAAATGGATTCTACTCCCAGCCCTGCTGTTCTCTCTAGGCTCTTGCTCTAATCTGCTGCTTCCCTCTGCTTGAACTGTCCCAATGCATTCAGTTTTCCTCCGTGCCCTCGCCTTCACTTCCCTGTTCAGAGCATTCTGGTGGACACTGTAGTCTTCCATCTGCTTTGGTTTGGAATCTGGTTTCTCTTCTGTACCATCTTAAGATATCTTTTGTCCTGCTTGGGTTGGATAATTTCCACAACCCAAGTGAGGCTCCCCACCCTCCCTCCAAGGTCTGTCATCTACTGTTTGCAATCAGTTAAAATCTACTGCATGATTCTGATCTCATCTTGTCCACAGCCTCAGTTCAAGTTTACTCTTTTCTTGCTCCAGTTCCTTAGCTAATTTACTTCTGTTGTATTTTCATGAAGGAATAGTTTAATAGGCTCTCTCTGTGTGTTCATTGACTGCCTAAATGAGAATTTCAAATACTGCAGGGGGCTGTAGAGAAAGTGTTCTGGAATCACTGGGGCATCTAAAACCACACTACAAGTGCTAAATATTTAACGATTCATCTATTTAAAGTGAGGCATTCATCACGTGTCAAGCACAGACATGGAGGATACCACATAGACCAGGATCTATTTTTCTGGAGTTTGCATTCTAATAGGAAGAAACAATCAATAAGAAAAACAGTAAATAAGTATTTTCAGACTGATAAATGCTGACTTAATCCATCCGACCTGCTGTAACAAAATACCACAGACTGGGTAGCTCATGAACAACACAAGTTTATTTCTCACAGTTCTGCAGGTTGGCAGGCCTCAGATCAAGGTTCCAGCATGATCAGATGAGGGCTTGCAGTCCTCACTTGGAGGAAGGAGTCTTGCAAACTCTTCGAGCCTTCTTATAAAGGCACTCATCCTTCACGATCTAAACACCTCCAAAAGGCCCGCATCCTAATATCATCACAAAAGGCATTAGGAGGTCAGCATATGAAGATTGATGGGCACAAACATTCAGAATGCAGCAAATGTTGTTACAGAATTCAAAGAGAAAAATGAGAAAGGGCAGTCAGAGTTGAAAAGACAATTCTTATCTATT